ACCTACTGACAGATTGAGTAGGTACTTGGAAATTCGGATACAGTCTGGGACTCACCACCAGCATCATGGGCTCATGGACATTTCCACTAAAGAGATGTTTGTTCTGTCTGAGCCACTGGAGGGCGTGTGTGTGTCCCTGTGGCGTCCTCGCAGCTTCTCCTCTTTGGCATTCATCATGTTGTTCATGTCTTTGAGTTTTTCTCCAACACTGGCGAACAAAAAGAAACATTAATATAATGATAATGACTTTGAACAGTAGATTGCACGCTCTTTGAATGGTTTGATCTATGTTCATTTAAAGTCTGATTTGTGTTGGAAACTCTCACTTCTGCCTTCAGCTATAACATGGTCCTTTTCCCTGCGAAGGTCGGACTTCTCTCCTTCAATCTTGGCTCTCTCGACCTGAATGCGCCTCAGCTCAACGTTGACTTCATTGATTCTTGGCGTCACGTCTGGCTGATCAGCAACCTTGGAGAGTTCCGCCTTCATGTCCTCGATGGTCCGTTTGGTGTTGCTGATTCGCTTTTGGTGGTCTTCGTCTTCCATCTGCTTCAGTCTCTGGGTTTGTTTGATATCATCAATCTATAGAGAAAACAGGCAAAGTTATCATTCAATACTAAAAGGACAGCATAACAAATATGTGGGGTAAATGGTACATTTTTTTCTGTTATCTCCTCTTTAATAAATAAATTATAGAATATATTAAAGTGAAATCAAGTCTTACCTGCTTGTGTTTTTGGTCCAACTGATCTTGTTTCTGTTTGCACTTCAGAGAAGCTTCTTTGATGGCAACCGTCTAAAAAAACATGCACGCTAATAGTTAACCTCCATAAAATATCACATCGATTACGTTCCAGTATTTATTCAACTCTAAAAAATGTGCCAAACAGTTCTCATAAATGGCATCCAACCGATCCTCAAAAAGTTCTTCAATGAATCTTAAGTACTCAATTTCAAAAAAGAAATCCCTAACAAACTAACCTATACTTATAGGCTATACTTATCTATAATACAGATTCACAAGTGTGCCTGACAAAAATGTCCATTCTTTTTTCGAAGTTTCTTTGGGCGGCATGATGCTGTGATTGTTTGGATAGCAGATTATTGTCATGGATTGGATCAGCCAAATAATGAAATTTAATTTATAGAACTTTAATACTCCTTGGCTAGCCATGACTCCAACTGTGCATTTTAACAGCACTATAACATCAACATTCATCGTCATGAATCTTAGTCATGTGTCACGTCCTCAATTTTCTTCACTATATTCACTTTGTGACTATTCCAACAACAATACAAGAAGATTGATAAACCTGAACTCCCTTTGTATTAACGTATATTTAAAATCTGAGAACAACTGACTGTGATGTAAAAAACTGTAAAATATAAAAGTTTGCTGTATTCAAACAATTTTACTTTTTCATCTACGAGCTTGGACAATTTTGAAAATGTAACACACATACCCCGTTCATTAAGTGGATGTGTGTGTGTGTGTGTGTGTGTGTGTGTGTGTGTGTGTGTGTGTGTGTGTGCACTGGCTGCTCCTTCAGCGCGTGCAGTGCATGAGTCAGATAAAACACAAACGGGCGCAGGCGTTTAAAAAAAAAAAAACATATTTAAAAAGACTGATTTGACTTCCTTTTTGTACAGCAGATCTCTTAAACGCTGCCTTCTTTTCACTGAGACTCTGCATAGAGATTTAGCGGCTAGAGGCTACAGTTATTTTACATCATACCCTTTTCACACATATGGAAATCTCCTGAAAAACTCCAGAGATTTGGCTACCGGAGGTTCTTTAGGCTATGTGTGACCGCAAACAGACGCATTTTTCACACAGACTTTACCCAGAGTTTCTCCCGCCAGACCCCTAGTATTTTTTCCGCAGAAAGTCCGAGTGAGCTGATGTCTGAACATGGCAGCAAATACTCCAGAGATTTAAATTCCAGCCAATAGGAAGAGAATGACGTTTATATATAGTGACTGCGTAAAGTGTCTACACGCAACCACTACGATCTCCGTGCACGTAATTAAACGGCTGTATTATGTTTTCTGTTGGTCAGTATGTTGTTCTCCGCTCTTTTGTGGATGTTGTCATTCCATTGGATTACACATAGCATTGATATAAAGGAAAATATTCTCATTATGACGTTGTGTAGCAGACTCTGTTGCTACGGCCGCTACTTCCGTGTTGTTTATTTACGTCTTGCGTCTGGAAATCCCCCGCGACCCCCCTCCCCTCTGAAAGGGAAAGCCCCCCACTGTGAGGAGCATATGTGAACAGCTAGGTCGGGAGAATCTCCCGAGCAGTCCTCCTGTAATCTAGATATTATCCAGAGTGCATATGTGAAAACGGCTTATGATCCGTGTCCCTACTAATGCATGACCACAACACCTTTCTATAAACACAATAAAGTTAGTAAATAACACATTACTGATTCTCATCAGTGTGAAAACTCTCAATTACAAAAATACACACCAATCATAATTTCTAAAAAGGCTTTTCAGAAATGTTTTCTTTTCACCCATTAAAATAACTTTATATTGCTTCTTTTGGAGCCTATTGTTATACTCTAAACTTGTATTGAGAGATATAAATTTGCCTTTTCACCTTAGTTTTTATTTGTGCCTCAGTGGGCTGAAGGTGGTTGTCAATCTGCTGCATCTTCTTCAACATGGGCGCCTGGGCCTGCCTCAGAGCAGAGAGCTGTTTTTTGGCCTCTTCTCGCTCCTTCTTCACACCCTCAAGCTCCTTACGGGTGGTCTCATACTCCTAGGATCAGACAGAGAGAGAGTCAGAGCTGACACAGGCAAAGGGATTGAATTTCACTGAGACTACATAATGTGTTTATTTTTCTCTCTCTCTCTCTTCAGCACAATGTTTCATCACGGCCGCTTACCACCCATGGTTTCTTCTTATCGAGCAACTCAATCACATCAAGATGCCTTTTCTTTTCGTAGTAACGGTTCATATCATGTTTGTTCCTCTCATTCCTTTGCTTGGCCTTCTCCAGGAAGTTAGCCTTTTCCTTCACCGTGTTCTTAAGCAAAACAAGATCCAGACAACATACTGTAGTTAACCAAGATTAGGTCTACAATGCTGTCCCTGAAGAACTAGAAAAAGTTCTTAGACGAGACAGATATAAAGAAGCAAGGGGAATTCCACTTTGATGTTCACAGAAAGATAGCTAAAAAGTGCTTGAATGAAACTTTACCTCCAGTTCCCGTTCTTTGTGTCGGAAATTTTTGAGCACACAGTGGTACCTGTACATCTCAGGTGGTCCCACTGACTTCTCTGTCGCCTCCAGCAACTCAATTTTAGACATCTTTGCAAACTCTCCCACTTTTTCCTGTGGTGTGGATGCAAACAGAACACATCAAAAGAAGAAGAGGAAAACATGTGGCAAAGATAAGAAATGATGACATATTGCATTGCAAAAGCACCAGTTACACGGCCTGACTCTGCAGCTACGACTGTTTTTCGGTGTGTGTGCGGAGCCTTATATTGCAGTGCAGCAAACATACCTGAGGTAGAAATTGGCAGAGGTTGCCAACCTGAATATGCAACGCCTTGACCTCCTCTTCAACTGTTTTCTGGTTGCAGTGTTTTCCATTCAGCATCCACAGCGACTGATTGTTCTCCACATGAATCTCTCTGTTTATCACTATATTACCATCATTTTTGTACCTGGAATAATGACAGAGTTAGATTCTACAATCCAACACATCTGAAATATGCTGAGGTAACACATGTTGGCGAAACATTGAAATCAGTTCAGGCTGAGCTGTCCACAATCTTAAAATGCTGACTCAGGACCGGCTCTGACCACAGGAGTGAGTATCTGACCAATTTATACCCGACTCAAACCTGCCAAAAATCAGAGAAGGAATCTTTTTGGAAACTTTGTCAATTCAGATATTGGCCCAGATTTGTTGGTGATGTGAAGGATTATTTTGATTATCTCCCTGAATGGCATGAATAGTCACTGAGGTTGATAAGAGAAAACAAGTTAGATATTTAGGATTTAAACTATGAAGACCAATATTAATATGATCCAAGCAGGACCATAATTGGCAATAAAGAAAAAGCCTACAAGGAGATAAAGCCATTTTTAGTGTTTCCAAGAGTTGGTAAAAAAAAAAAAAAAAGGCCAGCAGGTTGAAATCCATCTCCATTTTGTTAAGATCTGATTGGTGAGGTGGTACATGCTCAGACAATATTCTTTGAACTATCCTTAAGGGAGTCATGTCAAGTCAAGTCAAGTCTGCTACTGTCCTTAGATTATGTCGAATAAAAAGCCTACAGTGTTTGATGTAGCCTGTTCAAATCTGTTAGAACTTGTGTCTGAGCCTGGCTGACAGGAACAATATTAATATTTCATGATTCTTAATGGATTGAATTGAAATTTCATAACAAATACAACACAAATGTGTGTGTCTGCAAAGTCTCTGACATAACTTACAATTCAAGCTCAACAGATCCTTTGTTGCACCCCCGTTTGACATAGAGCCCAACCTGACAAAAAATGACAGACAACTTTATCTAAAAAAAAAAAGAAGCAATCTATACAAATAGTCTTCATCAGGTTTTACATTATCAAATTTGAAACTGTTGTATAGATTAAAGACTAACCATCACATGCAGTTCAAGAGGAAAATTAAAAAAAACATTCTCAAACAGTTAAACTTCTTCATTCTGCTGCTATCTGCTTTAAACTGATATGAGCCAATAGCAGCTAAATTCAGCATTAATCTACCAGTGTTTGCCTCAAGATGATGTTTACCTTATCGCCTCTGCCCAGGATAGCAGTCTTGCCAGCAAGACCGAGACATATAGCGCACACAATGCTCGATTTGCCAGTTCCATTGGCTCCAACTATCATGTTCAGGTTGGGTCCAGGTAACACCACTGAGTGGTCATAGGTCCTGTCAGAGTACAAGACAGACATAACAACCTTCACTCACGTTTCAAGACAGAAAATGAACATTATTAAGAGAACGTCTTTTAATAGAACAAATACCTCAAGCAATTGTAGGGATTGATATGGCTGTCACGTGTTGACTAGAATGATTACGACCAAAGACAAATCTGGTTTAATTGACTTACTATATAAACACATTAAAGACATTCAATATTTTGTTAGACAATAGATTATGAAAATCTTTGTGATAAACACAGATATTGCCAAGGCCATGTAGCTGCACGATCCAAAACAAACTGTTAACAATGACAAGGGCTCGTCCAGTTTAGGTCTTGCAGACTCTACCAAGAAGGCAGGAAGACTAAGCACATGAAACACAGACATCCCTCAAAATAGGGACCCTATTCATTTGGTTGCACACAATATAATAAATAATTCAAGAGAAAAACCTGTAAGCAGCCTCAACTGGTCAATTTGGAGGTTGACGTTGATAATGGTGATGTTGAAGTGATGTAAAATCACTAAAACGGTTTTTCTCTTCAGTAATCCCTACATATTCAAAAGGGATGACTCCCTAGTTTAGAAAAAAAACTGTTTGAACATAATGTATACTGTTCTATAGCATTTAGCATGATTATATAAATGCATAGAGGAAGAATTAGTTTAAACTAGGTGTAACTGATCAAATATCCAGAGTTGAATCCATATAAATATCCATTAGCCATTAGGAAGAACTGACGTGAAAACTTCTGACTCTTGATTTCGTCTCGGAATCGAGATCTCACTCACTTTAACTTAAAAAAAAACGTTTAACAGGGACCCCTCTGAACCGCCTCATCAGAGAATAATAAATTATTAATCCTCAAAACAAGTTTTCTCTTGATTTAGCTGTGACAGTATTAGACAGTCCTGACAGCAGAGAGAGGAGCAGGGGAAGAAGCTGCAGCTAGGCAACATGAAGTTAGTTTGGACTCTGAGTAATATACAGTTTGATTATTAGCAGAACGGTTACTTACAGGAAGTTTCTCATGGTGATGCGAAGTATGGAGCCCTCCACAAAATTACCCTCTCTGACAGTTCCTCCGCCTTCGAATATCTTTGCTAAACTGTTAATAAACGTTTGTGAGCTCCTGTTGGCATGGCTGACTCGCCTTCTCTTGCCGGACTCGGCCATCGTGTGTAAAATTAAAATCCTACTTCGACACTCTTCGCTTTCGTTTGATGGCCCTCGCGCGCGCTTCGCCGAGACGTTGCTGAAAGCTGGTTGGACGAAATGAGTCACATGTCTACGTCTTCAAAACAAGCGTGAGTTATCGCGAGACTGAGCACTTCACTGGTGAATTTTACTGCATTCAATCCAACGTTACAATTATTAAATAAAGCTAAATCTTCACTTGTTAATGAAAATGTATTGTTTGGATGTTTTTCTTACACGCCCTCTAAATCAAATCGATACTACATAATCAACCTGACTGTTACTGACAAAATCTCATAACAACAAATCTAAATTTCCAACTGCAAAACATCCTTTAGTTTAAAAAGTGAACCCAAGACAATACATTTGATCAATTCGATTATCAAAAAATAAGAAAGCTATTAAAACCATACATTTGTGTGCAATGTTTGATGTGTGTGTGTGGTTCCCTGTATACAGAACTATTATTTACAGTCCATGGTGCAAACTGAAGCTGTGACCTTTATTTTGATGTGTTTTTTTTAACTGCATCTGGATCCCCTAACATTATAACTGTTCTTGTTTCTTATCTGTTATATATGTATGAATAATACTAGTCAATAAAGCATTTGGAACTTTTTTTTAAGAAGGCTTAATGAAAAATGCTTCTTAATCTCAAAAATACATATATGTAAATAGGATACGACTCTGCTCCTTCCAACCTGAAAGCAGTTATTAACTGAACTTGATTATCATTATGGTGTTCATGAGGGAGGACTTAATAAGCTGTGACTTTTTAAAAATAAAAAATAAAAAATCAGTCGTTCATACAGTAATTTTTACGAGATAGAAACAATAATTTCAATTGACCCTAAAAATATGAGAAGCAGAAAATGATTAGGATTCAGTATCATGTAAAATCTGTTTAACCAAACCTGCTCCCGGCAGATCACAAAACACACACACACACACACACACACAAGCCAGACACAATTCACTCCAACCTCCTGTGCAATATAATGATATTACAATATCTACCACATTAACCTCTGATACTTAAAGGTGCACTATGTAGTTTTGGTTGAGAAATTTGAAAGTTGGAGAAGTGTACAGATTCTGTGGTATATGTATAAGATAAAAAGATACGCGAGAAGTTATGGTGGTGGCCCCGCAACTGTGAAATCTTAACTCTCTTGCTTATAAGCTCTAAACCATGTTCCAGGGACCCATTTTTAAAATAGAGCGTAGAATTGTTTCACTTCTTCAACTTTCAAATTTCACCAACAAAACAAATAGTGCACCTTTAAGAGTGATAGGCTACACGTTAATTGGTGCAATACCATGTTCAAAGTTATGTGCACTGTGTTCATGATGGTCTTTTTTCTATAAAAGTGAAAGTTCAGACTACATTTGTAACATCTGCAGCTCTGTTTTTGCTCCTTAACTATTTTCATTTTAGGGAGCACTGCACTGTTCTCTTTGCCTGTTCCTTCTCTCTCGGTAATTTTCTAAGCTGTGGGATAAATAAATGTTTATCTTAAAGGGGACATATTATGAAAAATCCACTTTTACAGTGTTTTCAAACATATATTTGGGTAACCTGAGTGTCTACTGACCCACAAAATATGAAATAAATCCATCCAGTCTTTTGTTTGTAGTATGCATAAGTCTAACAACACCGAGAAATGTTCTCTGTTACAAATTTTTCTCAGTTTGTGATGTCACAAGCTGGATTCTGGTAAAAAATAAAAATAAATCCCCTCCCCTCCCCTGGTATCTCAACCCATGAACTCCACCCCCAACCTAGAACAATACTTTGCACAGGTCTGTCATTTTTATTCACACTTCAGAGGACTGACGTCTACTGGGAAAACTCGGGGAGCTCATTGCATTTAAAGAAACACACACACCAAAACGAAGCGTTCTGAGAGTGCTGGTTTATACAGGGTCACAAACCTCCTCTGGTGCTTGATTCAGGTTATATTTTGACCAAAACACAACACAGCTATTTATTTAGACCACATAGGTCTGTTTTAAAAAGGTGTAAAAGGGGTATAATATGTTATCTTTAACTTTTATATTACAATGGGTTTTTATTAAAGAGTAGGCTATAAAACATGGGAAATGGTTTCAGTCCTTTAATGAAACGACAGTGTTTATGTTTATAGTTCCATGGATGAAAAAACCCTTAGTACTTAACAAGCCTAAATGATATCAGCCCCCTCCTTTTTCATCCAAATCGATTAACTCTAGTATATTGAATGAATTACTTCACTGTAATGGTTCGTTGTTTTTAGCTAACCTTTTTATTTTATTGTCATCACACACATTTTATATTCAAAAATAAAAATGACAATATTTTACATTTTTATTAGTGATGTCAAAAAGGTTGTGTCCTCCAGTGATGTGAAAACTCTAAAAAATTATAACATTTACAATACAGAAATACTTGTTACAGTTGTTTAAAGTAGCTTGAAGTAAAAGTGGGGTACCTTGGAGCTGTATGACATAAATTCTAAGATGTTTCCCTCCATCAAGGTTTTCTTACCTTTCTCTACAATATTTAACATCTTAAGGGCAAACAAACAGGTTAGTTATATGAAATAATAATACAAATAATAATAATAATAAATTCAATTAGAAGAAACAGAGAAGAGGCAAGAGTCAAAGGAGAAAGAAAACAAAGAAAACAAGACAAAAGACGGCTAAACTTAAGCTTGTTTCTCCATAAAGTAATTGTTCGTGCTCATTACTTCCTGGATGGTTTCAGACGTCTTTCTGTTGACCAGCACTGTTGAAGCATTAAGTTACAAAGCAGACTAAAAGTGGAGTTTCTACTTCAGCCCCATCCTACAAGTGTTAGCCTTTGTTTCTGTTACCACGTGGCTGCTTTACGACGAATTAAAACACTACAAATTAAACTACTATTTGCCTACATTGATCCAACCTGTGCGCGCTGCTCCAAGATGATGTTGTTTGTTCTGGGGGGGACAAAGGGGATAGTAAACAAACTTTAACCTCTCAAAACCGAACATTGAAAAGCTTCTGACCAAGGAACTTTAACACTTAAAAGCCCGTCAACATGTACCGTCCCTTAAACATGCAAGTAGGCTGCGGTAATCTGGAAGAAAAGCCACTGAATCCCACAAAGATTACGTCTAAAAAAAAAAAAAGAAAACACGCAGCTTCTGAAACTCGCCGCCTTCCTCCAGCACGTCCAGGCCCTTTGTGGTTAGATCAGAATCGCCTCTTTACTCAGGGTCCATTGTGAGTTCGGGATTAACCCAAGCTCATTCAGAACTAGTATATCTGATCAATTCATCATCTCTGACCACAACATGAAGCGTGGAGGCCCTGAAGGTGAATTCTCGCGAGCTGCTCATCGCCACGAAGGCTCGAGCGCACTTTTACTATCATCTCTGATCGGAGCAGAGCCAAACCCAGACCAGATCAAATAAGATCACTGTGTAGATTTAAATACAAATACTCACTCACACACAAACAAACAACGCATACACGACAAACATTCACTCAGTCACGCAGTTACAAAACTCTGACACACACACACACACAGACGACACTCACACACCATTCATACTGTGAGGTGAAAGCGCTTCCGGGTCAGCTTTAAAGGCAAAAGCCGCATGGAATCATGGGACATTGAAAGCAGTGAATAGTTGTATGTCGACCTCTCCTGGACATTAAGGGTCAATACCTTTTTTAAAAAACATTTCTTATTAAATGAAGAAAACAACAGTTTTACACTTAGGTATCTTTATACGAACAAGTAGAACATTTTGCTTATTATAGGGTACCCAACTATAAAAAAAAAAAAAAAAAAACTTGAAAGAAGTGGTCAAAACATGACAAACATGTATTTTGAGATATTATTTAACCTTCTCTTGTCTGCCCAGTTTATGTCATTGATAAAGATAAAAATAAACTTTATTGATCCCCGTGGGGGAAATTAGTGCATTGAGGGTTTCAACACAATTTGAAGGATCAAATCAAAAGAAAGATCTCAGTTCAAACCTCGAAAGTCAAAACATGGGAAGGCTGTATTACCTTTATTGTAGTTCAGTTGTGTTAGATAAATTAAAACTGGAAAATTATGCAAAAAATACAGTTTAAATAAACAAAAAATGCAACAATAGTTATCTAACTCCATTCAAATCAATATGGTTATTCATTCTTGTCTTGCTGTACCCAGTTCTTTCATTTTCATTTTTAACTTAACTGTTTGAATATTTTATTTCAAAGATGTTGCAAATTAGAATCCAATATAAACACTATGAAACTTGCATTGGATGGCTGTTTTCTGATTGTCTAAGTATATTTCATAAAAAATAAATGGGGTATTCACTTACAGTTAACCTAATGAATTATTGTTATTTAAAAGCAGTAATCTTTCCCGGTTAAAACCTTAGAGTTATAACTGCACTATAAATATCTTGATCATTTTTAATAGTTTGTCAACATAACTTTGCTCTGATAAAAAACATCTGTGTTTGATTCTCCAGAACAGATTTGGTCGATATAAAGCTCTCTACTAGTAAATGAACATATAAAAGGTATACATTATTAATATGTAATATTTTTGAGTTACAGGCTCATAAACGGTCCAAATTACTGTAAAGAAAAATAAATCAATTTTTACATGTGCTTTAAATCTAGATAAACCTTTATTGATCCTGGTAGGGGATATTTTTAGTGTTAACAGCAGCCAAGAATTTTGAAAAGAGAAAAAAAGAAAAAACAGCACATATACGTTTACTTTAAAAACAAAAACACTTACAGACAAGAATTGCACATAAAAGAGAAAAACAGTTCGCACAGTGCACAAGAATACATATAAGAATACATAGATAAATACAGAGTTAAACTTGCATCTGTGTAGGATGTTCTTAATTTGTTATGCAGTTTTGCTTTGGCTTGAAACAAACACCACACAGAGTGAAAGATGTAACTGCTTCCCACTATACTCTGCCTGAGAGCCGTTGTAATTGATGTCTCTCTGTATCAATGGGCTGGGTGGTAGAGGAGTCAAATGTTACTAGTGCCGTGCGAGGTTGGTTTTAAGCTGCATTTGT